TGCATCCTTGTGATAAGGCAGTGGCATGAAAAAATCAATTTAAACCCCCCCTTCCCGACTCCCCCCCCCCCCCCCCCCCCCCGTCTCCCCCGCCCTCCGTCCTCCGACCTCCTGCTCCATCCATCTTTTTGCTCCACGTGGCTCTCCTGCCTGCCTCATATTCCAGCCTTTATGGCTCTCCTGCCTGCCTCATATTCCAGCCTTTATGGCTCTCCTGCCTGCCGCATATTCCAGCCTTTATGGCTCTCCTGCCTGCCTCATATTCCAGCCTTTATGGCTCTCCTGCCTGCCTCATATTCCAGCCTTTATGGCTATGGACTTTTCGTCTTTTCTCAGGGTTTCACGTTTTTTTGTCCTCTTGCCTCTCCCATTGGGTCTGCGTTCATTGGCTGGGCATGATGAATGGTGGACATGCATGCTTGCCATGTGCATGATGAATGGTGGGCATGCATGCTTGCCATGTGCATGATGAATGGTGGGCATGCATGCTTGCCATGTACATGATGAATGGTGGGCATGCATGCTTGCCATGTGCATGATGAATGGTGGGCATGCATGCTTGCCATGTGCATGATGAATGGTGGGCATGCATGCTTGCCATGTGCATGATGAATGGTGGCATGCATGCTTGCCATGTGCAGGACGGCATTCACCTGCCATTTTGAGAATGCCTTGGACTATGCTTCCTTCTCTGTGCGCATTGAGGAGAGGGACATCGCTGACATGCTCACAAAGCTCAAGGTGCTGCAAACATTATGGACCACCGCTAACTTGATGGTGTTTTCCACTGTTCCCTTCCTTATTCTTTCTTTATATATATACATGTATATATATTTACATGTCATGTATTCCCCACGTCTCCTGTATCGTCTTATCTCTATCGTTTTGTATTCCTCTCAATCATGCCCTCCATGCTTTTTCCATCAGGCTATCACAGCAGAACGTGGGGAGTGCGCTGCAGGCTACAGTGCAGAAGGTGTGGCAGCGGCTGTCGTACCACTCGGTGATCGCACAGGAAGCCAAGAGGCAGCAGGACGAGTATGGACACAACGAGGCATGGGCGTTTGGCATCAGCCTGCTGAAACACGATGACGCCATTGATACACTCATTGAGGTGTGTCTCTTCATCACCATATAAACCTCTATTGCTTTTCTTGCGCAGTACTGAGGCGTGTAACTCATCCATGACTAGTTGTGCTTGCAGGTTTTGCACTATAAGCTTCACAATGACAGATGGCGGAGGGTCTTCAATTACAAGCAGTCTCGTGAGGAGTTACAAAAGTATTTCGGTGTACCCAAATCATGTCTTGTCGTGTGATATAGATTGAAGGTACAATATCTGAGATACTTATGGTTTGCTATGTCTTGTTTGTCAGCAAGTTGTGAAACTAATTTTGCATCACACCTCACATCACATACCCAAGCAACCATGTGTACGGCTTTCATTGATGTGATGTGACATAATTGTAAGTGTGATATTCAAGTGGTAGCTGGTCAACATATTTATGTATTGTTATAGGCTAGATAGGTGCACGCCTTTAGAGAGTACAGCACTATAACACAAAACCTGCCTGTATGCCTCATTCTAGTCATCGTGTTATTCTAAGATGGTCTCACGCTAGGTTAGGTCCCCCTCCCCGCTTACTCTTCCACCCCTAGCCCTAGCCCTAGCGATAGCCGTGTCCTAGCCGTGCCCTAGCCCTAGACGCACCCGCGCCCTAGCCCTAGCCGCGCCCGAGCCGCGCCCGCGCCCGCGCCCTAGTTCGCGCCGGCCCCGTCCCTCCGCGCCGGCCCCGCTAGTCTGTGCCGGCCCCGCTAGTCTGCGCCGGCCCCGCCAGTCCGTGCCGGCCCCGCCACTTCGCGCCGGCCCCGCTAGTTCGCGCCGGCCCCGCCCCTCCGCGCCAGCCCCGCTAGTCCACATCGGCCCCTAGTTCCCAGCGCCCACCCTAGTCCCTTGCTCGCCGCTGGCCTTTCGCATGCCGCGCGAGCCCGCTGGCCCCTAGCTCGCAGCTGGCCCCCAGCTCACCGCTGGCCCCTAGCTCGCCCGCTGGCCCCTCGCTCGCCGCTGGCCCTTCGCGCGCCGGGCGAGCCCTAGCCCGCTGGCCCCTAGCTCACTCGCTGGCCCTAGCTCGCCGTCCCCAGCTCGTCGACACTCGCTCGTCGGCCCACGCTCGCCGGCCCACGCTCGCTCGCCGCCCCCTAGCTCGCTGGCCCCAGTTCGCGCCGGCTCCTGTTCGTGTCGGTCCCCCGTTCGAGCCGCCCCTAGTTCGCACCAGCCCTTGTTCCTGCCGGCCCCAGATCCCCACGGTCTCTGCTTGCCGCCGTGCCGCTGTGTCCCCGTGTCGCCGTGCCGCCGTGTCCCCATTTCGCCGTGCCGCCGTGTCGCCGTGACGCCGTGCCGCTGCGCCAACTGCGGCCGTGCCGCTGTGCCATCGTCAGTTGCTGCAGCCTTGGCGATGGCGGACGCTGTGTTCCGCCTGGACGCGGAGGGTCGGGCGATTGACTTTGAGGCGTGGCTCGCCGACCTCCGCCGCTCGCTGAGGGGACAGCGCCAAGATGGCCAGTCTCTGACCGTCCACGTCGACGGTAAGATCCCCTGCCCGGACCAGCCTGCTGCCCTCTCAGACCCCCCCACGCCCGCTGAGCATGAGGCCTTTATAGTAGTTGAGCTCGCCCACTCTCTTTGGGAGTCGTGTGACGCAGTTGCGCAACTTGCTATCAATCGCGCCCCCCCCCTGTCTGAGCGCCCCCGCTACAAGGCCCTAGAGACTGCGAAGGAGTACTTAGATGCCGTCATTGCGCGCTATTCCACTCCCTCCTCCGCCTCTGCAGGCCGTCTTCTTCTCCCCTTGCTCTTCCCCGACCTTGCGTCCTTTCCCACTGTCGCTGATCTCGCCACTCACCTGCGCGCGCTAGAGGCTAGCTACCGCGCTGCTAGCACTGAGGCTCAACTCCTTGTACAGCCTCCCCCCTCGGCACTACCCTATACTTTCTTGCAACGCGCCTTCCTGACCGCCTAGCCACTGCTCGCGGCCAATTCCTTGGTCTCCACCCTGCTGACCTCACCCTTGCTGGCTTTGTCACTACCCTGTCCGCGATAGAGACCCGCTAGCGCACTATCGCTTTGTCGAGCGATACTGCGGCAATCCCTATCTTCCAGGCCTGTGCTCCCTCCCAGTGCACTTACTCTGACGTCTTTGCTGATTTTGCTGAGACGACCTCTGCTGCTGAGACCGCTGCGGCAGCCTCAGCACAGTCTCGTCAGGGTAGGGATTGCCGGGTCCGGGGGGGGCCGTGGCGGCAGGAGGTGTGGCAGGGGTGGCGGAGGTGGCGGCGGTGGTGAAGAGGACGGTGGTGCAGACGAGGGGACCGGGGCTGGTGCCCCGGCACAGCAGCAGTAGCAGCAACAGCCCCAGCCAGCAGCAGCAGCAACAGCCCCAGCAGCAGCAGCCGTAGGGACCCCGGCCGCCATGGTGGCCTGGAGGCTATGGTGGTGGTGGTCGTGGTAGTGGGCCGCCCAGCTCAGTGTCGGGTGGCAGCTCTAGTGCGGTGACCTGCCAGTACCAGCCTCAGCCTGGCCCCCGCCGCGGCACCGTCTGCGACCGTCCCGGTCACTCCGTCGCTCACTGCTACCGCCGCCTCGACGACCTCTTCCGTCTCCGGTTCGGCCCTGCGTCAGACCCTCCTGACTGACACAGCCCGGTACGTCGCCATGTGCAGATCTTTGAGATGGATATGGATCAGATCGCTTTGGTGAAAACTGGGCACTTTTAGCGTCTACCCAATTTTGAAGGGGGGAAGCGTGAGAGAATGGGGCTTGCTCACAACCATTTGCTATTTGCTATTTATTGTGTGTTTTTCCTTTCCTAGAAATCCCTACACTTTTTCGTATACAATGAGACATTATATATCATACTGTATGTGTTACGGAGTATTATGGACTTTCCTTGCGTGACACGTTTTCTATTGCGTGGAGTGTTCCGCCACCGTCACCGTATCTCTAGAATCTACCGTGCTTCTAGGTGGTGTTCCTACGGACGGTTCCACTCATTTTTCGAACTCTCTTAAAAGATCCTAGTTACCCTTCCCTAGAGTTCTTGTAAGTATAAATAAGATTGCGTCTTTGCTTGTAGACATTCAATTCTACATTCAATTCTTGATTCAATTCATGATTAGTATCTTCAAGCTTCCGCTAAATCCTGGACCTGTGACACAGCCGGCTGACGCTACCGCCGCGCTCTCTTTCACGCTAGACTCTGGTGCGTCTGCCAGCTTCTTTCGCGACCATACTGCACTCACGCTGCTTGCCGCCCCTTCAGCTGTCGTGCTTGTTGACCCCTTCTCAAGTCCGGTAGTTGCACGTAGCTCCACCACCATTCCCTGTCCAGCAGTTCCCTCGGGCTCTCTTATAGCCTGCACATGCCCTCGTTCTCCAGGAACCTAGTTGGTGTCGGCTGTCTTCAAGACCTCGGCGTCACCACTACATTCCCCGGACACGAGCGATACGCGGTCTGTACCGAGGCCGCCATTGGTTCCCCTCTCATCACGTTCCCCCGAGACACGGTGTTTGGCCTGTTTATGCTTGACACCGCATTCTCCCCGATGGGGGTGTCTCCCAAGGTGGCCGCGCCCTCCCAGGTCGCTGCGGCTTGCTCGTGTCGGTCGCTCACTTAACCGTCGCTTCTGTGGCACCACCATCTAGGTCACCCCGCACTCTCGCGTCTGCCTCACATGTCCCACCATGGTCTTGTCTTAGGTCTCCCTTCATCGCGCCTTGCCCTCCCTCCCTCGCCTGCGCCGCCGTGCACGCCCCCGCGTCGAGAGCCGTCTGCGCCATGCTCCTCACTCCTCTTCGCTTCCCCCTACCACTGCGCCACTCTAGACCCAGCATCTGGACGTTTGGGACCCAGCCCCCGTCCCTAGACCGCGTCGAGAGCGCTACTTTCTAGTGCTTGTCGACGACTATATGCGCTATACCATGGCGTTTCCCCTGGAGTGGAAGGCCGACGTGCTTGATGTTCTTATCCCGTGGGTCGTAGCTGTGCGAGTCCACCGCGGCCTCCCTGTGCTGCGTCTTCACTCCGACCGTGGCGGCGAGTTCGCCTCCGGTCGGCTTGGCCAGTTCTATCGTGCGAGGGCATTACCCAGTGGTACACCCTGCCGTACACCCCACAACAGAATGGGGTCGCTGAGCGACGCATCAGTTTGGTCATGGAGGTGGCTCGTACCTCCATTATCAATGCCGATGCACCCCATTTTCAGTGGCCATTCGCTGTTCGCTACGCCACTCATCAGGTTAACATGTGGCAACACTCCTAGTGGCCGCAGGTTTCGCCGACCCTCGTCTGGACCGGGTCCCTTAGTGACACATCTGCGTTCCACGCCTGGGGCTGCCTCCCTCACCTTTGTGCCTCTGGAACGGGCAAGCTCACCACCCGCACTAGCCTTGTGTCTGCCTTGGCTTCCCCCTAGACGCGTCTGACCTGCGCTTTTACCACCCGCCGTCTCACCATTTTTTTCACTCTCGTAACGTCACTTTTAATGAGTCTGTCTCCTTCTACACCCGCTTTCCCCACCAAGGTCTCCCGGTTGCCTCGCCCATGTTTCTGGTTCCCACTCCCCAGTAGCCCCTGCTCCTCTCCCTTCCCGTCGTGCCTCGTCTTGTGTGTCTCACGTCACTCCCCTCCCGTCGGTTGTCCCAGTAGAGGATTCGGCTGACTCTGGGGCGTGGCTCCAGTTTCGCTGCCTGCCTCCGCCCCGGTGTCTCCACCTCTGCTGCCGCAGCAGCCGCCGCCGTCGCCGCCGCAGCAGCAGCCGTCGTCGTCGCCGTTGTAGCCGCAGCAGTAGCCAGAGTCGCCGCCGCTGCAGGGGTCCGCGAGCTCTGGGGGTGCGGGCATTGAGGAAGGTGCTAGTCCTGAGGGTACTATCGTGGCTTGTCCCGGCGGTCCTGTGGATGGCACCGGTACTGGAGAGGGTTCTCGTTTTGGGGGTGCTGTCGTGGAGTGTCCAGGAGGTAGCCGTGGTGCGGCTGGAGGTTTTGACATCGGCGTGGAGCAGCATCAGTAGTCGCCGCTAGTGTCCGCCCTTCGCCTCCTGAGTCTTCACTCCCCTGACCGCCCGCCTGCGCCTCCCCTGCCGCCGCCTCCCCCGCCTGTCTACGGCCCTGTGTTTCCTCCGCCTTACTCATCCCCGGCTCGTTTCCCCCATCGTTCTGCTCCTGTGTCTCCTCCCTTGTCTCCTAACCTGACCCCCCCCTCCCACTGGTGGTCTCATTGTGCCACTCGTGCTCGTCCTGTTTCTCTTGTCCAGTGCTCTCACCCTATGTTGCTCCGCTCTCACGCGTCTCGTGCTCCTCTTCTAACGTTGCCTCCTCCGTCGTCGTTAGTTGTCTCTCCGCCTCCTCTCTCTGACTTCCT